CCCCCCCCCCGTTCCCCCGAAAAACAACAACAGGAGGCGACGGACTACGTTGTGAACCCGACCCGCCGCCGGTCGAAGAGCGGGACCAACGCGAACAACTCCAGCGGAGGCGGCGAACTCAGCTCCCGGTGTGTAACCTTCTCAACCTTTAACGTATTTTTGAGCAGTTCGCCATTCGACTTGACGATTCGCCTCACAGACCGATGGAGCTAGAGACGTCTTGCCTCCTCCCTCCTTCTTGTCGTTGTATGTATCGCAAAGCGAAAACAAAAAAATCCCCGGGAGTCGACGCACACACGCGAATTTTCGATTACTTTACCGAACACTAGGGTTCTCGAACTAATCCTTGGTCAATCCTCGAGAGGTCTTTCCTTCGCGTTTTTCGTGCAAAGAGCAGCGATGCGTTCTTCGAGAGGCCACAAGACAAGCTTCTTTCCTTGATTGAGACCTTTGCCGGTTTTGTGGTGTCTCGAGAGGCTCCAACTCCCCCCCCGCCCCCCTCCGCATTCCACTGGGCTTCGAAGGTCCCTGTGTCGATACTACGTAGTATGCATTGCCCTTATCCGAAGCGCCAACAGCAACAACAACAACAACAACAACAACAACAACAAACAACTGAGTCTTATCTAGTCTAAAGGAAGTTCTTTCTCGACAAGACATCACTGCCCTCCCGTTTCTAAAAGTACACCTGCTCTACCGTCGAGAGAGAGACGCTGAGTTTTCTCGTCCCTTTGCGTGTCTGTCCGTTTCTCTTTCTCCTGCGTCCTCAAAGGTCTGCGAGAGGAAGCGCAGGAGGCGGTAGCCCGCGGGGGGGAAGGGAGGGCGGCAGGCCAAGGGTGTCTCAGGTACGCATACCCCTACCATGCAGAATAGCCAGCACAGACCCACAAGGTCTAGTTTTTATGTCTAATTCGAGGTGTAGCGGCTTAGAACGCTTCGACGGATAGTCGCCGCTCCATCTGGGAGATTTTTGTTCATTGATGTCTTATGGATGGATGTATCCAACTAAGAAACAGATCGGGTCAAACACACACACACCATTCCACCGAGCCCAATGGCTTGGAGTAACCGGGACTCCTGTCTCAGCGAACCCCCCTTTCCCGTTCTCCACTCGCGACGCCTGGTGAACACAGGATGGCGAGTCTTCATCGAAGTGCCACTTATCGCCGGACTTGCCCAAGTTACAGCTCGGGGCCAATGCATCCGCAACGCCCGCCCTCCGCAGCGGCAGGAGCTCGGCCGACCGGTGCAGGTTGAATAAAAAACAAACCTCGAAGAAACCAAGGCTCAGATCTCGGCGATAATTAGGAAAACCGACTCAGAAACATACCTCAGCCACCCGTGGATCCTACACTAAACTGTATACAATGACCGATGGTGACGTAACAAGAAATGGAGCCTCGACCCCCAAATTGACGTTTCTTAAACGTAAGCGCTCACTGTATACATAGCAGCGGTTCCTGGTCTACAAACAGACACACAGTCGCTGTTGCTGCTCGCGGTTGTTGTTGCTGCTGTTGTCGTTGTTGGGCGTTTATCCTTGTCGATAATCCCCACGCTCGTTTTTGTTATTCCATCTGTTCCCCTCTCACCCTCCTCCCGTTCCCTCCCTTTCTACCGCCGTCCCTCGTCACCGTTATCTATCGTTTGCTCAGCGGCGGTAGCCCTCGCGAGGGAAGGGGTAGCGGCAAGGGTGAATCACTGTTCGAGGAGGAGGACGACAGCAACGACCTGTTCCGTGACCTCAAGGTAGGAAGGAAGACGAAAACAAAGAGGCTGCCAGCTAATTACCACGTGTTCCCACAAAGTGGCGCGCACAAGAGGCTACCCCCCCGGCCCCGAACTTACCGCACACACAACAATGCCCGTCTCCTTTCTTTTTTTGTACATTGCCGGATGCAATATATGCCTCTCCTTGCGGACGACAACACGGCGTGCCCTCTGCGCCGGGCGACTTGTCGTGGA